AAAAAAAAATAATAATAAGGTTGCTAAATTAACTAAATACAAATTAACAAAAACAGTTGGAACAAGGGAGATAATAACTTTTTTTGGCATTGAACTTTGTGTTTCTTCAAAATATCTACCGCCCCCAGAGGCGTAGCGACCTATTCCGGCGCCTGGGGCGGACTATCAACTTTGCGCCCCCTCCCTCCTATTTCTATATATAGTTATACCTGTATGTGTAATTTCTCTACCCCTTTTGGCGCCCCCTTGAGGTTGGCGCCCGGGGCGGCCGCCCCACCCGCCCTCCCCTAGCTACGCCTCTGACCGCCCCTCCCCCCCCCGCCCGGAACGAAATCGAATTTATATAGAAAATATATACTTTTAACAGTGTCCACCCCCTCCCCCCCCCCCCGGAAATTTTAGGCCACCCCCCCCCCCCCAGGAGAAAAATGTCTGGAAGAAACACTGATTGAATTGTAATAGAAAAAAAAATATTTAGAAAAGCAACAACAGGGGATGTAATCAAATAACTCAAACATGTAAAACATTGTAAGAGTTATAGTTGATGAAAAGATACAGCACAAAAAAAAATAAGGTTGCTAAATTAACTAAATACAAATTAACAAAAAAACAGTTGGAAAAGGGAAGACAATATTTTTTTTGGCATTTGAACTTCAAAATATCTACCGCATTGGCATTGAACAGTAATAGAAAAAATGTATTCAGAGAAAAAAAAAACCAACAACAGGGAATTTAATCAAAGAATGTAAACATGTAAAACATTGTAAGAGTTATAGTTGATGAAAAGGTATTAAAAAAAAATAACGTTGCTAAATTAACTAAAACAATGTGAACGGAATAGATAATACATTTTTTTGGCATTGAACTGTAATCGAAAAAAAAACAACTCGCCATTGAACCGTTAAAGAAAAAAATACTAACAGGGGATGTAATCAAATAATTTAAACATGTAAAACATTGTAAGAGTTATAGTTGATGAAAAGGTACAATTTGAACAGGGTTAATAACATTATTTTGGCATTGAACTGTAATAGGTTATGGTCACTATTTTATATTTAACAAGCAACTGAATAACAAAGGAATAGTGAGTATAATGTTGTTCTGTTTATTTTATTCTATCGACTATTTCATTAAGTCTCTCTTCTTAAATTAATTTTTAACTCTTTAAAGTTAAATACAAATAAATTTATGTTATTCAAGAGTAAGTTAGGCCTACTCAAAATCAACTGTCAAACATAATAATGAAGTCTACTTTAATACGTACTATAAAAAACGTTGAATCTAAATTTAACGTTCTTGTTTATATGAAATTAATCATCCTCATTTTAACCCTTACATTGAAGATTAGATTTGTTTATAAAAAAAAAGAACAAGTGGCGGATTTGAAATTGTTTTATTACATATTGTTTTTTAAAAAATATTTTTATTTAATAAAACGGGAGGTAATGCAAATAATAATGTTGGATTACTTTGTAACCATTTTCTCTGTGATACGTCTGGTGTACCACGGTTCTTTGACCTAGGGTAAATGTACTCTGCAGTTCCATGCACAAATATTTATAACTACTAGATAAATGGCCCGTTGAGGAAGGGTACAACGGGCGCTAGGCTGATAGTGCTGTCTCTTTTCTCTAAACTAAAACCAACCCACCCCCCACACACCACCCCCACCCCACCCCCACACACCACCCCCACCCCCCACCACACACCACCCCCACCCCAACCCCTCACCCCCACACACCACCCCCCTCCACACACCGCCCCCCACCCCCCACCCCCCCCAAAAAAAACATGTCTACCGTCCCATTCAACGAAATATAATTATATACTTTTTCCAGTGTCCGCCCCCTCCCAGAATATTCTACCCCCGCCCCCGAAAATTTCAAGTACCCCCACCCCTCTCCGGGGAGGAAAAAGTCTGAAAGAAACACTGAAACCAACCCACCCCCCCACACACCACCCCCCACCCCTACACACCACACCCCCACCCCTCCACCCCTCCCCCCCCAACCCCCCCCCCCCCCCCCAAAAAAAACATGTCTACCTTCCCATTGCAAGAAAACCACTTTTTAGATTAGACACATTAATTAGGCTGTAATTTTATTATAGAGTATCGATGAGGAAATTTCTTTTGAGTTGGGGAGGGGGGGGGGGGGGCTCAGACGTTCTTACGCGGGGGGTGGGGCTTCGCCCCTACCCGAAGAATTGTATGCAAGAAACTCTTCACGCAAACCATTTAGATTAGACAACATTTCCTTTTTTTCAATGTATTACTGTGTGCACTCTCTGGTTTGAGATTATGTTCTACTCTACGCTAAATGTGTCGACGTCATATTTCGTTTTTCGAATTACTGTGCATGTTTTTATTTTGCTTGTGTTTTCTCTAGAGCGTTCTTGTCAGACAGAGCGTTCTTGACAGACAGCGAAACTATTAGTATTAACGAGAAAAATGGCCCGTTGAGGAAGGGTACAACGGGCGCTAGGCTGATAGTGCTGTCTCTTTTCTCTAAACTAAAACCAACCCACCCCCCCACACACCACCCCCCCACCCCCACACAACACCCCCCCCCCACACACACACACCACCCCGCCACACACCGCCCCCCACCCCCCCCCCCCACCCCCCCCCCCACCCCCCCCCCCCACCAAAAAAACATTTCTACCGTCCCATTCAACGAAATATAATTATATACTTTTTCCAGTGTCCGCCTCCTCCCAGAAAATTCTACCCCCGCCCCCGAAAATTTCAAGTACCCCCCACCCCTCTCCGGGGAGGAAAAAGTCTGAAATAAACACTGAAACCAACCCACGCCCCTCACACACCACCCCCACCCCCACCCCACCCCCACACACCACCCCCCCCCCACACACACACCCCCCCCACCCCTCCACCCCCACCCCCCCCCCTTCCCCAAAAAAAACATGTCTACCGTCCCATTGCAAGAAAACCACTTTTTAGATTAGACACATTAATTAGGCGGTAATTTTATTATAGAGTATCGATGAGGAAATTTCTTTTGAGTTGGGGAGGGGGGGGGGGGGGCTCAGACGTTCTTACGCGGGGGGTGGGGCTTCGCCCCTACCCGAAGAATTGTATGCAAGAAACTCTTCACGCAAACCATTTAGATTAGACAACATTTCCTTGTTTTCAATGTTTACGCGACAATCAATGACGTCATATGACTGTGTGCACTCTCTGGTTTGAGATTATGTTCTACTCTACGCTAAATGTGTCGACGTCATATTTCGTTTTTCGAATTACTGTGCATGTTTTTATTTTGCTTGTGTTTTCTCTAGAGCGTTCTTGTCAGATAGATAGATAGACAGACAGCGAAACTATTAGTATTAATTTTAAATCATTTTCAAAACTCATTAAAAATATTATAAAGAAAAACAATCTTTAAACTTTAAACAGGATAAAAACGCTCATCAGAGAACAATGAGAAAAGGTGAGCTAGAAAGTATACGGACAGACGCGTGGGCACCAGGCCCAGCCCCAATGCCGTGCTGTAACCAGACGTCGAATATCGTTCAATGGGGAATATTATTTTTATTGAGAATGCATTTCTCTATCGGTCAGTATGTATTTATTTTGACAAGAGTGACGTTGTTTTTACTTTCTCGTATATACGAAGTATAGAGAAAGTATTGTAATCGTGCACAAAAATCACTTGAAATTTTAACTATTTTCACCGTATTACACCTCAGTCCTTCATCACATCCGAAGTATAGAGGACTTATTTTAATCGGGCAAAAATTATCAATCCAGATTTATCAAAATTAAAAGGTTTTATGCGTATTCCAGTCTGAAAAACTGGGCTTTGCAATTCTGTCCGTATGTCTGTGTGTCTGTGTGTGTCCGTGTGTAAACACGATAACTTGAGTACCGTTACAGCTAGGTTGATGAAATTTCATATATAAGTATTTTATCAAAATCGTAGATCCGTATCAACTTTTGAGCGATTTCGGATAACCGGAAGTGGTACTTTTTCTACTTTGAATTTTTCAAAAGCCTATAACTTGAGTACTATTTCAGATAGATAAATGAAATTTGATATGTAAGTAAAAGATCTAATTCTCTACCTTCTGTCAAATTTTGAGAATTTTTCGTTGACCGGAAGTACTTATTTACGCTACTTCCGATTTCTCAAAAAACTAATGTAAATTTTAAAAGTACTAATAATATTGCGCACTATTATGCGCTTTTTTATTCGCGTTCACTTGGTGTGCAATTAATTTGTCTACGAGATTTTATTCTATTTTTAAAACTTTAAGTATTTAAAATGGATTAAAAATCATGTCTATAGCCCGAGTTGTTTTATATAAGAATATTCGAGAAAGTTTAGGGGAGATCACTCCCGGTTTATTTAGTTATTAGATTCCTAGAATTGAGCCGGATACTGGACGGTGGGGTACGAGTTTACCCTGGGAACAGTGGGGTGGAAGATAAGCCCGGTGAAATTCGAAGACAGAAGCGAACGATACCCAACCCAGTTACTATAATTAGTCGGAGTTTGCCGTGTTGAGGGCTGCCTGACTATGGGAGACACCTACTGAGCCGGTGGTGTCAGCAAAGAAAGGGAAAAAAAGTAATTGGTTTCTAACGTGGATTGGAATAGTCCTAAAGATATATTATTATATCTATATATATATAAATATATATATACATATATATATGTGCGTATATATATATATATAATTATACATTGGTTTCTAACGTGGATTGGAATAGTCCTAAAGATATATTATTATATCTATATATTTCTATATCTATCTATATATATCTATATATGCATATATATATATATATATATATATATATATATATATATATATATATATATATATATACATACATATATATACACACATATAAGTCTAATTTCTGTCTATGTCACTGCTAAGCACACATCTTGGAAAGCATTTTTTTAAATAGTCATATGATGTATCTCTCACAGTTTAAAGGCAAGGTGGTGGTAAAAATAAAAGAAACAGAACTTGACATGTGCTATTTATTTACTGAACTCCACAATACAGTTGAAATACAAAAGACAAGAAGTACAGTTATACTTTGACAACTGGCAACATTTTAATGTTACTGTAGTGTAAATTCACAATACTGTAAAATTAAAAGCCAACTTTTACCATAATCCCCTTACAATATACTACACATTAGAACTAGAGTATAATAAATCTTTCAAAAACATTTCCAAAATGTCTGGTGTATTAGATTTTATTTCACTACATCCTGATATACACAACTTAAATAAAGCATTAGCCTTTTAGTAATCTCCTTATTAATCAAGGTAAAATTGAAAACAAATCATGCATACAATGTAAATGAATCATCCAAATTCTGTGTAACAGCATGAAAGAAAATTTTAAAACAAACAAAAATGATGTCATTATTTAATATTTCGTGTAATTCTCCGACAATATCCTGACTTCATTTCTTGCAAAGCATCTTCTAATACCCGGACCATATGTAATAAATTGACTGGATCAGTTTGCAACATGGTGGATTTTCTCTTTCCAGCCTCTTCTGTCTGAAGCTTCATCAGAATAGATGGTGTCACCTGATGTCGTAGTGATCTACTTGCAAGCTATAACAGACATTCATTAAATCAGAATGTACAGTTATTTGGTGTCATAGTGATCTAATTGCATGTTAAAACAGACATTCGTAAAATCAGAATGGACAGTTATTTGGTGTCATAGTGATCTAATTGCATGCTAAAACAGACATTCGTAAAATCAGAATGAACAGTTATTTAGTGTCATAGTGATCTAATTGCATGCTAAAACAGACATTTTTAAAATCAGAATAAACAGTCACTTGGTGTCTAAGAGATCTACTTGAAGCTAAAGCAAATATTTACACAAGATAAAGCAAATATTTTTAGGTCCAACTGATTTTAATTTTTACTGCTTGAATAGTGATGAAGTTGTAAGTTAATATAAAAAAGATAAAAAATATTATGAACGGAACTTTTTTCTAACCACTGGACAAAATTTATTATCAAAATGAAAAAAATTACTGTGACTCAAGTTAAGTATTTTAGCTTGAACCCACTCTAGAGGACAATGTGGTAAAATGGTAGAGCTTATGACTGCTAACCCGCATGAGTTCAGATCCTAGGCTTCTACTATTATGGGTACCTGACTAATGTTATGAAAACGCACCTTGGCATAGTGCTGACCACACTATCCCTTTGCATACAGAGGGCATTAAAACAGATGAACTCTACTTCATCCACCCCATGTGTCTTGGGCATGATGATGAATCATAAACTTTAATAAATGTTTGAACACGTTTAAAATGGAATTGTGTATAAAATAGTTTATAAAAAAATTTACGACATATGTATGGGCTAGTCAAAAAACTCCCTCCCCCAGTATCCCATATACAGTGACCCATGAGTAAGATCCCAGACAATCAAATGTTACCTGCACATCAAATCTCCACTCAAGGTTTCTGTAGTGTGCCACATCCAAACTCATCTCATCTAAAATCTCTCGAATCTCCTTGTAGTTTTCCAGATACAGGCTGAGCAAGGCAGCTTTGATTTCTTCCCCAAAGCCCAGGGTCATTATGGAGTCTTGGAAGTCTATTTCACTCAACTTAAATGGGCAGAGATTGAAAAAAAGGAAATTACTAATTTCAAAAGAGTAGTTAAGATATGTACCTAACATATGTTCAGCACTCTGTCGACAGGTAGATAGATATGTACCTATCAGATGTTTAGCACTCTGTTTACAGGTAGATATGTACCTACCATATGTTTAGCACTTTCTATTAACAGGTAGATATGTACCTACCATATGTTTAGCACTCTGTTTACAGGTAGATATGTACCTACCATATGTTTAGCACTTTCTATTAACAGGTAGATATGTACCTACCATATGTTTAGCACTCTGTTTACAGGTAGATATGTACCTACCATATGTTTAGCACTTTCTGTTAACAAGTAGATATGTACCTACCATATGTTTAGCACTATCTGCTAACAGATATATATGTACCTACCATATGTTTAGCACTTTCTGTTAACAGGTAGATATGTACCTACCATATGTTTAGCACTTTCTGTTAACAGGTAGATATGTACCTACCATATGTTTAGCACTTTCTGTTAACAGGTAGATATGTACCTACCATATGTTTAGCATTCTGTCAACAAGTAGATATGTACCTACCATATGTTTAGCACTTTCTGTCAACAAGTAGATATGTACCTACCTTATGTTTAGCACTTTCTGTTAACAGGTAGATATGTACCTACCATATGTTTAGCACTTTCTGTTAACAGGTAGATAAGACCCTCAACTCCATGTTGCACTGTTTCCACTGGAACCCCTAGCTTTTCTGGTAGAGTAAAAAAAAATGTGTTGTTTCTTCATCAATAGATGCTGAGTAAGGGAAATTGTACAACATCTAAACATCTAAGATTGTATTTTTATAATACAACCTCCGTGAAAATCACAGAGAATATAAAGGAGAGAAAAACACCATTCTAATCATCGTTAGTGAGGTTTATGCCCCCCCTTCTTAAGCCACAGATTACTTCCACTAGCAAGTGAGTGAGAGTGGGGTGTGAGAGTGTATGTGCATGTGAGAGAGAGAGTGTGCATGTGTGAGAGTGTCTGTACATGTGTGAGAGAGTGTGTATGTAAGAAAGAGTGAGTTAGTGTGTGAGTGCATGTGTGAGAGCATGTGTATGTGAGAGAGAGTGTGAGTTAGTGTGTGAGTGAGACTGTGAGTGAATGTGTGAGAGTGTGTGGGTGAGTGAGAGTGGGAGTGATGGAGCATGTGTGAGTTGAGTGTGTGTGTGATGAAGGTTAGCACAACGTGACATTTGGCATTGAGGCCTGGTTGTGGAAATAGGGTGTTATGTAGTGCCAATCAGACTTAAGTGGAAACTACAGGTCATGAAGATGACATAACCAAGATAATTACATGTTCATTTCATTTTGTGGTAACTTTTAAATGAGTAAAGTTAATGTTGCCCAAAACAGAGGGTAGTAAGAAATAATACATTAAAAATAAAAATTGTGAACGAGAGCTCAATAAGATGAACAGTTTTGAGGACAAAATGAACAAACTGTATAATCAAGAGCCCATGTGAAAGGACATGTAATAAACTATTAAAAAATGCGATTTAAATTAAACGAAAAAATTCTTTAAATATTAAATTAAATAAAAATTACCAATGACTTACGTGCAGCACCCTGGAATATTTTAGGGTTAGCTCCCTTGCGAATAAAGTTCAGAGAAATGCGTCCAAACTCTTTTAGAACTGTGATAAAATTAAAAAACAACTTAATAAAAAGCCTAGTGACAATTTAAGCGCAATTTCTATAGTACTGTAGTGTATTATGTATAATGTAATTTTTAAAAAAATTTTGTGACCGAACGAAAGGATATTGTTCTAAATTATGGCAGGAATCGATTGGTAAATGTTTCAAGTGGCTAAGTGGTCTGGTTGCCGAGATATGGGCCAAAAACTGCATTTTTTTGAGGTTTTTTGGCTTTTCCGGGACATCCAGGAAGGAATTCTGGGGATATTTTTGGCCCACAATCATCCTCGGAACTTGCTTAACATATTTGCTTTTGGAACTAGTCCTCGATATTGCTTTGTTGAGGAGGAGATACGACTTAAAGCTGCGGACACACATCCATCCAGAACGAATTAATAATCGCAATTGTCAGTATGGAAATTGCGCTAAAAAGCAATTAGTCAGCCAACATTCAGTATATTATTAACTTAATAATTTTAAATAGCTAAACTTTCTTATAGTATTCTTCTTTTGAATTAGACGTACTAAATCATTTTAACTGAAGCTGAACAAGAGACCACATGAGATGGAGGAGGGAAATTTTAGTCAGTTATTTATACTTTTTAAATTTAATTTCGTTTGGGAATCTTTCATTCCAACTTAAGTTTGTCTAACCCAGTTGTGTACAAAAGTCATCAATTAGAGATAAGAAAAGTTCCCTTACGGAGCTGACTGCCCATGGGGCAAGTCAAGTAGAGTTCACCTGTTTCTGTGACCTTCGGCATATGAAGGGATAGTGTGGTCAACATTATGCCCTGCAGGCTTTACTTTCCCAAACATGAGTTAAATAATAAATACCCATCAGAGGTGGGTGGACTCAGGGACATTCTACTTGAACTTGAGACTTTCAGGTTAAAAGTTGTAAGCTCTACTATTCGACTACTCCATCTCTTGTCTATAAGAGATGACACAATCTATTTTTCTAACTTTTAATATGTGTTAATTCCCTTCCCCCAATTGTCGCAACCTCTTCCTGTAAAATGATTGAGCCCCAGAAAACTGATACTTTTTTAATAAATTATAAAAAATTATGAAAATCATTTATAACAATAAGCTTTCTAATGAACTGAAAAAATAAATAAAACAAAAATTGTTTTCTTAAGTTAAAGCGCTTGTCACTAAAATATGTAAATGATTTTATGAATGGTTCTAAAAACCTCTCATGCAATGGAGATTAAACTAGACACACTAACTCTAGAGAAAGGGTTAAAAAGAATACTGTGAGTGTGTGTGAGAAACAGCTGTTGGTACATTTTGAAACGCGAAACAGTGGGGTGGTAAATTGCATCTTACCCCCCACCGGATACTCATGATGGGTGGGGGTAAAATATGAACATGTCTGCAAAAATTTGAGGCAAACTTCAAAGAGACTTTTCCTTTAGAATTTTAATAACTTCAAGTTTGTCCGTCCCTATATATGCTGGTGATTACTCAACTCCTTTCTTTTATGTGGAACACTGAAGCTGCCCGATATGGTATATCTATATTGCCTTAAAACACTTTGCTCAAAGTCGCTGTCACAGCAAACATGTTGTATTGTAACAAAGACATTTTGTAATATAACTACTTCATTATTTGTTGAGTTATGTTCATGTTGTTGAGAAACTTTTTTTAAAAATCTAGGATTCTTGAATCTAGATTTCTCTAGATTCTAGTAGTAGACACTCTTCAGACATAGACCTAGATTTCAGTAGATACTACAAGCTTTTATATTTTATAAGTACTGTACTACTCGTTTAGAGTAGAGTCTAGCCTGTCTGTTAACTAAGTAGTAAGGGTAATCTATCGTTTTAGGTACGTAAAATCGCCCGCGACTAGTAATGTGAAAAACAGGTGACTCCTTACATTTTAATAATTATTTCACATTTTGAGGAGGATTTATGTTTTGAAAAATACAAAAATGTTTCCTTGTTTCATTTATGTACGTGTTTCTAAACAATTGAATTAAAACTTTTCAGTAATAAATGAACACCAGCGATGTTTCCAACAGATGCAACCATGCTCATTTACTATAGCAGCCATCTTGTTAAAGTTTTATTTTTATAGACTTAAAGCGCAAGATTCAGGCGGAAGTCACTCTATTTTACAAATGGCTGCTGTTTATATAGCAAATCTTGCTTGCAGACACTGCTGTTTAAAGTTAATTTCGGGCCTATATTGATATATTTAGCCATTGATTTAGGTTTATTATTCATTTATCTATAATATTTGACACAAACATATCACAATATACTTCTATTACAGCCTTGACAATGAGGTAACGTTTTCGTACATTAATAGCCGCGGGCGATTTTACGTACCCAAAACGATAGATTACCGTAGTAAGTAAGTAATTCATCTAAAGTCTAGTCTACTAAGACGTAAGTGTAGTACTGTAGTACTATTGCTATTAGATTTAGATCTAGAATTCAAGATCTAGATCTTCCAGTTCTTTTTAATAAATTTTTTTTAGTTAAGCGACTTTTAGGCCCTAACTAAAAAAATATAACTTTTCTTCTTAACAACTAACAACAAAGTTAGTTTAAGTTACTAACAAACAAATTTAATTTATTAATTTAATAAAAATTATTAAATAAATATTAATTAAATAATTTAGGCCTAACAAATAGACTCTAGATTAACTCTAGAGATCTAGATCTAGATCTAGATCTACTAACAACAACAACTAACGACTAACACTACAACAGAAGACACACAGTAAGTTGACTAGTTGAGTAAGTTCGCCCAGTTCTTAGTTGTAGGTTTTACCTTCAATGTCTAAATCTGTTAAAAAAGATAAATGTTCCTTGTGAGCATCTTCAAATATAAGAAGCATTTTATTTCGCTGTTATTGTAATAAACACTAATTTATTTACATCTCAGATTATTCGTTTACAGTTGTAATTGCAAGAAGTAAACATCGACTGCGAAAAAAAGGCGTATCCCAAAATATAAACGGAATACCGGTCGCAGTTTTTATGTTCTTGTTACGTCAAAAACATTTTCACCGGAAACGAAACAATGCTTTAACAGTTAATGGATAAGTCATGATAAGTGTGTTTATCCTAAACGTTCCTTCGAATTATAAATATTAAAAAACTAAATAAGTTTCATAAAGTCAGTTAATTGATTATGATAGGCTATCTTCTTGTGTCGGTATCAATAATGAGGGGGAAATCGGATTGGAGGGGGAACGGCGGGGTGCTGGGGATTGTAATTCTAACCTTTCTACACTCTGCGGTCTTTTGTTTTCATTTGTTTAAATGTTCAAATCACAATTTAAAAAAAAAAACAACAACGAACAAGCGTCACATAAAAAATACTTTAAAAACCACCAAGGGCCTATAATTTAGTCCTATTTGTTAACATTAGATGTCGCTGCTACAGGTTCGAATATTTTTACTTAAAGCGGCTGTATGCCTATGCACTGGCCTATGACTATACCTATACCTGTATCTATGCCTAAATCTATGGTGTCATCAATAAATGACGTCACGCTTTTTTGACAATTTTTACCTCCCCCCCTCCCCTCCACCACGCGTTGTCACAAAAAGCCAGACCCCCCACCTAAAATGACGTCACACCGCAGCCTCCAACCCCCCTCAAAATTGCTGTTGAATGTTTCTTAAAACATTGATATTTTTCCAAAATCTTGCCAGAACTCAGTCAACATAGAGTATTTTAATCAATTCCTATTAAAATTTATTAAAATCGTTCTCTAAAACACGAATTAATGGCTAAAACTCGTTTTCTAACATTGCTTTTTTATAATGCAAAATTACGGACCCCCCCCCCCCCTCCCCCCTTCGAGTGTGACGTCATGTATGGACGACCCCTATTAAGCCTTTTGTCGAATGGTGCCCGAAGGTTTCCCGCGAACTGACAGTTGCCTGAATGGTACAAGCAGTGGCGTAGCGAGGTCGGGTGTCATCCGGTGCGGCACTTAATGATGTCACCCCCCAGAGGAGGGGACTAACTTTCAAACTTTCGATTAGGCACCCCCTCAAGTTTTCTCTATATATTTTGCTATTTTTTGCCTTGGTGACACCCCCCTATATGGTGTCACCCGGTGCGTTCCGCACCCCCACCCCCCCCCCCCTCGCTACGCCTCTGGGTACAAGTGACCCCTCCTGTACACTGTTAAAAGTATATATTTTCTATTTTCTTTCTTGAGGCTCTCTTTTTAAATATCACGTGGCCGGCTGTTAACTGATAGGCTTAAGACCTCTTAAAATCAGTGTTTCTTCCAAACATTTTTCTCGGGGTGGGGGGGGGGACTAAAATTTCCAGATGCGGGAGGGGGGGCGGACACTGTTTATATTATATATTTTCTATCTAAATTTCATTTCGTTTGGGGCTCCCCCCCTCCCCCCCCCCCCCCTCCGAAGAGATGACTGAGAGAAACTCTGCTAAAAAACACGCAGTATTTACACTGCTCCCTACCTAACAAAATTGGTAAATGAGTTGAAAGTTTATACATCCTCAAACGGGCTAACTACGTCACAAATATTGGGATGGTCGACGGGGTTAGTTATGCTGTTGACGATTTAGGGGGAAGTAGAGTTGAATAGGTCAGGAAATCAAGAAGCTGAATTGCAGCTGAATATTTCACATTTCTAAAAGCCTGATTTTGTAAATTGTAAGAGAATCTATTAATTTATACTCAGTGTTGTTCGAACACAATAATTATTTTAGAAAGAAATATGTTTTAGAAAACAAATACTGCATTTTTTAGAAGGAAGGGTCGGGGTTTGCACTCTTATGTTTAACGTCATTTTAGGGTCTGGCTTTTTTGTGACAAGATGTGATTATGGGGAGGGGGGAGTTTTAAAAATTGTGCAAAACAAACGTTATGTTATTTATATATGTCATATTTTAAAGAAAAATAGAAAGACTAAAATGTCATATAAAAATATCGACTGATTCGTGAATGACGAAACAGAAATTAAGAAGGAAGCCCTATTTTAAAATAAATTGAAAGGTAGGCTTATATAGTGGTCGGTGTGGTTGAGTAGTTAAAGCTCACGGTTGCTCAACCCGGGAAGTTGAGTCTTGATAGCCAAAGACAACAAATCTTCTAAGAGAGACAACTCCAAAATCAAACAACTGCTGCCTTGTGGTTTTTATTGGTTGGACAAAGGTTATGGAAGCAAATCAAAAATGAAAAGCAGGCTGACATCCGAATCAACGAATGGCGCATAATCAGTTGACACGTATGCTTAACTGTGTTGGAAGGGATCCCTTCCAACATTAAAATTTAAAAAAAGAAGAAGAAGAAGAAGTAGAAAGGTATATAATTTTAAGAAACTTCTAAATACAGTGGTTAATCTCATTTATTAATTTTATGAAGACAACTACCTACACATAAATTCTACTTTTACATTTATTAAGATACGAGAAAAATGGCCCGTTGAGGAAGGGTACAACGGGCGCTAGGCTGATAGTGCTGTCTCTTTTCTCTAAACTAAAACCAACCCACCCCCCCCCCCCACACACCACCCCCACCCCACCCCCCCCCACACACCACCCCCACCCCCCACCACACACCACCCCCACCCCTCACCCCCACACACCACCCCCTCCACACACCGCCCCCCCACCCCCCCCCCCCAAAAAAAACATGTCTACCGTCCCATTCAACGAAATATAATTATATACTTTTTCCAGTGTCCGCCCCCTCCCAGAAAATTCTACCCCCGCCCCCGAAAATTTCAAGTACCCCCACCCCTCTCCGGGGAGGAAAAAGTCTGAAAGAAACACTGAAACCACCCCCACCCCCCCACCCCCACCCCCCACACACACCACCCCCCCCCCCCACCCCTCCACCACCCCCCACCCCCAAAAAAAACATGTCTACCGTCCCATTCAACGAAATATAATTATATACTTTTTCCAGTGTCCGCCCCCTCCCAGAAAATTCTACCCCCGCCCCCGAAAATTTCAAGTACCCCCACCCCTCTCCGGGGAGGAAAAAGTCTGAAAGAAACACTGAAACCAACCCACACACCACCCCCCCCACCCCCCCCCCCCACCCCTCCACCCCCCCCCCCCCCAAAAAAAAAACATGTCTACCGTCCCCATTGCAAGAAAACCACTTTTTAGATTAGACACATTAATTAGGCGGTAATTTTATTATAGAGTATCGATGAGGAAATTTCTTTTGAGTTGTGGAGGGGGGGGGGGGCTCAGACGTTCTTACGCGGGGGTGGGGCTTCGCCCCTACCCGAAGAATTGTATGCAAGAAACTCTTCACGCAAACCATTTAGATTAGACAACATTTCCTTTTTTTCAATGTTTACGCGATAATCAATGACGTCATTTTACTGTGTGCACTCTCTGGTTTGAGATTATGTTCTACTCTACGCTAAATGTGTCGACGTCATATTTCGTTTTTCGAATTACTGTGCATGTTTTTATTTTGCTTGTGTTTTCTCTAGAGCGTTCTTGTCAGACAAAGCGTTCTTGTCAGACAGAGCGTTCTTGTCAGATAGACAGACAGCGAAACTATTAGTATTAACGAGAAAAATGGCCCGTTGAGGAAGGGTACAACGGGCGCTAGGCTGATAGTGCTGTCTCTTTTCTCTAACTAAAACCAACCCACCCCCCACACACCACCCCCCACACACCACCCCCCACCCCAACCACCCCACCCCCCCACCCCCACACACCACCCCCACCCCCCCCCACACACCGCCCCCCCACCCCCACCCCCCCCCCCCCCCCCAAAACATGTCTACCGTCCCATTCAACGAAATATAATTATATACTTTTTCCAGTGTCCGCCCCCTCCCCGAAAATTTCAAGTACCCCCACCCCTCTCCGGGGAGGAAAAAGTCTGAAAGAAACACTGAAACCAACCCACCCCCCACACACCCACCCCCCCCACACCAACCACCACCCCCACACACCACCACCCCCCCCCCCCACACACCACCCCCCCCCCACCCCTCCACCACCCCCCACCCCCCAAAAAAACATGTCTACTGTCCCATTCAACGAAATATAATTATATACTTTTTCCAGTGTCCGCCCCCTCCCAGAAAATTCTACCCCCCGCCCCCGAAAATTTCAAGTACCCCCACCCCTCTCCGGGGAGGAAAAAGTCTGAAAGAAACACTGAAACCAACCCCCCCCCCCCCCCAAAAAAAAAAAACATGTCTACCGTCCCATTGCAAGAAAACCACTTTTTAGATTAGACACATTAATTAGGCGGTAATTTAATTATAGAGTATCGATGAGGAAATTTCTTGTGAGTTGGGGAGGGGGGGGGCTCAGACGTTCTTACGCGGGGGGTGGGGCTTCGCCCCTACCCGAAGAATTGTATGCAAGAAACTCTTCACGCAAACCATTTAGATTAGACAACATTTCCTTTTTAATTCAATGTTTACGCGATAATCAATGACGTCATATGACTGTGTGCACTCTCTGGTTTGAGATTATGTTCTACTCTGTGCTAAATGTGTCGACGTCATACTTCGTTTTTCGAAATCTATAATAATAGTTTCGCTGTCTCTCTATCTATCTATCTGTCTGACAAGAAACGCTCTAGAGAAAAGACAAGGAAAATAAAAACATGCACAGTAATTCGAAAAAACGAAGTATGACGTCGACACATTTAGCGCACAGAGTAGAAAATAATCTCAAGCCGGATAGTGCACACATTGATATGACGTCATTGATTATCGATATTCAATACAAAGGCAATTTGGTCTAATCTAAGTGGTTTGCGTGAAGAGTTTCTTTCATACAATTCTTCGGGTAGGGGCGAAGCCCCACCCCCGCGTAAGAACGTCTGAGCCCCCCCCCCCCCTCCCCAACTCAAAAGAAATTTCCTCATCGATACTCTATAATAAAATTACCGCCTAATTAATGTGTCTAATCTTAAAAGTGGTTTTCTTGCAATGGGACGGTAGACATGTTGTTTTTTTTTTTTTGGGGGGGGGGTGGAGGGGTGGGGGGGTGGTGTGTGTGTGGGGGGGGGGGTGGAGGGGCGGGGGGGGGTGGTGTGTGTGGGGGGGTGGGGGGGGTTGGTTTCAGTGTTTCTTTCAGACTTTTTCCTCCCCGGAGAGGGGTGGGGGTACTTGAAATTTTCGGGGGCGGGGGTAGAATTTTCTGGGAGGGGGCGGACACTGGAAAAAGTATATAATTATATTTCGTTGAATGGGACGGTAGACATGTTTTTTTTTTGGGGGGGGGGGGTGTGGAGGGGTGGGGGGGGTGGTGGTGTGTGTGTGGGGGGTGGGGGTGTGGGGGTGGGGGGTGGGGGGGGGGCTGGTTTCAGTGTTTCTTTCAGAGTTTTTCCTCCCCGGAGAGGGGTGGGGGTAATTGAAATTTTCGGGGGCGGGGGTAGAATTTTCTGGGAGGGGGCGGACACTGGAAAAAGTATATAATTATATTTCGTTGAATTGGACGGTAGACATGTTTTTTTTGGGGGGTGGGGGTGGAGAGGGGGGGGGGTGGAGGGGTGGGGGGGGCGGTGTGTGGAGGGGGTGGTGTGTGTGGGGGGTGGGGGTGGGGGGTGGTGTGTGGGGTGGGGGGTGGGGGTGGTGTGTGGGGGGTGGGTTGGTTTTAGTTTAGAGAAAAGAGACAGCACTATCAACCTAGCGCCCGGTGTATCCTTCCTCAACGGGCCATTTTTCTCGTACTATGCATGTTTTTAAATTGCTTGTGTTTTCTCTAGAGCGTTCTTGTCAGACAAAGCGTTCTTGTCAGACAGAGCGTTCTTGTCAGATAGACAGACAGACAGCGAAACTATTATTATAGAAATTTAGTTTATATTTTAGAAGAGAAAGAAAGTTTTATCCTCGACTTTATGATCAGTGTTTCTTCCAGACTTTTTTCTCCAGGGGGGGGGCACTTGAAATTTTCGGGGGGGGGGGGGCGGTAGACTTTCTTCGGGGGGGGGGGGGGCGGACAATGTTAAAAGTATATATTTTCTATATAAATTATATAAATTTCATTTCGTTCGGGGGGGGGGGGGGGCGGTAAAAATTTTTCGGGGAGCTTAGCCCCCCCCCCCCCCCCCCCCCCCCCGAAGAGATGCCTGGAAGAAACACTGTTTATGATTTTCTCTCAATGATTCCGTCTATCCACTGTGATATGCTGTTAACCATATAGGGTTAGGCTCTCGAGAATTTGTAATTTCCAACGACCACGTCGATTTTTCAAAAAACTTTACGTGTCTTACTCTTCACCCTTTACAAACAATATTTTTCTCTAACAATAAGTTATCTATTTGTCAGCAAGGATACAACTACCCTAGCCTCGACAGGACCTCGTGTAAAAAAGTTACATAAACCCCACAGAGGGAGGCTAAGGGAGGGAGGATGGGGAGGTCTCCATCTCGAGAGTAGATTATCTTTGTCCAGATATCTTTGTCCAGATATCTTTGTCCAGACATCTTTGTCGAGATATCTTTGTCCAGATATCTTTGTCCAGATATCTTTGTCCAGATATCTTTGTCCGGATATCTTTGTCCGGATATCTTTGTCCATATATATTTGTCCAGATATGTTTGTCCAGACATCTTTGTCGTGACATCTTTGTCCGGATATCTTTGTCCGGATATCTTTGTCCGGATATCTTTGTCCGGATATCTTTATCCGGATATCTTTGTCCGGATATCTTTGTCCAGATTTCTTTGTCCAGATATATTTGTCCAGATATCTTTGTCCGGATATCTTTGTCCAGATGTCTTTGTCCAGATATCTTTGTCCGGATATCTTTGTCCAGATATATTTGTCCAGATATCTTTGTCTAAATACATTTGTCAATCTTTCTCCAGATATCGTTTTCCATGATACCTTGCTCCAGATATATTTCTCCAGATATCTTTTTTCATGATATCTTGCTCCAGATATATTTCTCCAGATATCTTTTTTCATGATATCTTGCTCCAGATATATTTCTCCAGATATCTTTGTCCAGACAGCACAGCTATTACCACAAAAAGTAAAGCATGAAGATATTGTCGGTCTTTTTTCTGCACCTAAGACAAAACAGTCTCTACTGCAAAAATAACTACTTTTGCTTCTTACTAAATTGTTGTAATCTATGGTAGCAGGTTGAGATAATCAATTTAATAAAAATTTGTTTGTAAGTAATACGTTTTAAACATTCACTGTTTAAATACTGGTCTTTTGTTTTCAATCTAGATATGCTTACTCTATTATTGTATGATGATGCTAAGTAATATATATATATATATATATATATATATATATATATATATATATATATATATATATATATATATATATATATATATATATATATATATATATATATATATATATATATATATATATATAGGCCTATATATATAAAGTTAGGTTAATATACAGGAAAGCTTTTTAGAAGCATGAAAATATAAATATAAAAAATTGATGATGCAAATGTACATTTTCAATACATTTATTGAAGGAATTTAAAACGCGAGTGTAATTTCAATATTTCAAATCATGCGCAAGTTTGTCCCAAAATACTGTCATGGCGTCGCCATCTTGACCGGAACTGTTGGTGGGGTACTGAATGTAGGTGTTGTTGCGGATGTGGTTTAACAAGTCTGATCCCATCTCTCTGTTGGAGATGGCGTCCTTCAACAAGAACACAAGGACGGGGCGTCCAGTGTCAACTGCCTCCATATTGGCCATCTGTGTATATATATATATATATATATATATATATATATATATATATATATATATATATATATATATATATATATATATATATATATATATATATATATATAAGGAGTTCATATCTGTAATATCTTCCACACAATATATTTTAAGATACAATAGTTTCAGTAGTTTCACATTACATTAGTAATTACATCTTGTAATAACAAACTTTTTTATTTTAGATGTAGCATACAGTTGCATGATTTTTTTACCATTAGGTCATAGTTACATGATTTTCTTTTAGCATTAGGTTATGGTGAGACTACATTTTTAAACCTTTAGCTCATAGTTACACCTCCATTTTACCTGTAGCACATAGTTACCCCTCCTTTTTACCTGTAGCACATAGTTACACCTCCTTTTTACCTGTAGCACATAGTTACACAATTTTACCTCTAGCTCATGGTTAGACTATCTTTTACCTGTAGCTCATAGTTACACCTAATTTTTACCCGTAGCACATAGTTACACAATTTTACCCCTAGCTCATGGCTAGACTATTTGTTACCTTTAGTTCATAGTTAACCTATTTGTTACATGTAGCTCATAGTTACACAGTTTGTTACCTGTAACTCATAGTTACACAATTTGTTACCTGTAACTCATAGTTAGACAATTTGTTACATGTAGCTCATAGTTAGACAATTTGTCATCTGTAACTCATAGTTAGGCAATTTGTTACCTGCAACTCATAGTTACACTTTTGATTACCTGCAACTCATAGTCACACCACTTGCTACCCAGCAGGTTGCGCGTGAGTACCACCAGCGTTCTCCTGCTCTCCTTGACCGCCGTCAGTATGTTGGAAGCGATGTAGGCGCCGGCCACAAAGTCCCGACCGTGAACATGGAGCTTCAAGTTCCGCTTCCGTAGCTCTAGCAAAAAGGTCAAGCAAAGCATGTTATATATTTGTCAGAATACTGAACACAGCAGCGCAGAGTTTCTTCCAGGCATCTCTTCGGGGGACACACCGCTCCCCCCCCCGAAGAAAGTCTACCGCCCCACCCCCCGAACGAAATGGAATTTATATAGAAAATATATACTTTTGACAGTGTCCGCCCCCCCCCCCTCGGAAATTGTTGTCCGCTCCTCCCCCCCCCCCCGAAAATTTCAAGTGCACCGCCGGAGAAAAAAGTCTGGAAGAAACACTGCCACAAAAAGTGTTAGCGGTGGAGGGCGGGCACCTAGTGAAACCATTTGCGGGGGGGGGGGGAGGTGGGGATCTTTTGAGGGGTGAAATTAAATAGAAAAAATAGTAAATTTTTCAAACAAAACAAGACAGTTGAAATAATAAAATAGTAGGGGAAATGTTGTGACACCCGACCAAAAAATGCTAAATTTATGAAAGGGTAGGGTAGGTTGACACCCTCAGTTACCGCCCCGGGTGAAACCTACGCCACTGCACAATTATTAATTTCTGAAATTTCTGAAGTCTATGATCTTTGTTTTTTAATTGACATTTATATGGCCTTTATCGTAATGAGTAGTTACGACAACGTTTTATAAAGTTTTTACTTTCTCGTATATACGAAGTACAGAGAAAGTCTTGTAATCGTCCAAAAAAAGAAATCGAGATTTTTGCAAATCTCGACGTTTAAGGGCTCCCTGAGTCGGAAAAACATTGTTTTGCAATCTTGTCCGTATGTCTGTGTGTATGTGTGTCTGTGTGTGTGTGTTTGTGTGTGTGTGTGTGTGTGTAAACACGATAACTTGAGTAACGTTACAGCTAGGTTGATGAAATTTCATATATAAGTATTATATCAAAATCGTAGCTCGGTATCAACTTTTGAGCGACTTCTGATATTGTCTATGTCCCGAGTTGCCATACCCCGTGGTGTCATATTAGAATATTCCAGAAAGTTTAGGGGAGATCACTCCCGGTTTATTTGTTCATAATTTCGAAAAAAACATGTCTTTAAATATAACATAGATTTTAGTCATACACTCAATCCTAGTTATTCTACTCACTAGCATACACCAAACACATTAGTTTAAAATCCAAATTTAACCCGAACATAACCCAAAAACTAGTTCTAACATAGATCATATAATAAAATACCATCTTTAAATTAACCATATTCATAATACTTCGCTGATTAACTTAAAACTTGAACTAAACTTAACCCAAATAGAGCAAAAAATAATTGAATGGAAATTCAACAACATATATTCTTTACCCATATTTGAAAAAAATGCTTTGTATTAAGGATTTTACGTTAACAAAATATTTAACAATTTGTCAGCAGCTGTGTTATTTTCACAGTTCGCTGGTTACATCCCTTTATTAAAAGGGAAACAATTCAATTATTATTTTTAATTAAAAAACAACAAAAACCTGTATGATCGACGGGTGTGAAATATGTATGAACAAGCTTTGCTTGTTAGTGACTTATCAACTGTTCATGATTTAAATAAGTGAAATAACTTTATCATGCTATATTCTTTTAGGACTGAAATACATTTTTTTGGCACCAGACTTACCTGTGACCACTTCCTCTGTGACGAACGTATCGTCCTCTGACGAATAGGATATAAACACGTCATACACAAAAGCCTTGGAACTGGCTGGAGAGTTACGGTTACTGAACCTCAGGTAGGCAGCGTAGTACATGTACCTGATCTTCCAGCGGTACCTGGGGATAGTGTGTTGATGTGTTGATATGCCAGTCAATTTGAAGATACGTTTCTGGTGATAGGGTTTACGTGGAAATTGGTGGCTTTGGCGGTGGGGGGGGGGGGGGGGGAGGTGGGGGGTCTGGATGTTGGGGGTGTGATATCTCTCCATGGGCCTCACAGCTTTAATTTCTATGAATGGCGTTTGATATATATATATATATATATATATATATATATATATATATATATATATATATATATATATATATATATATATATTAAGCGTAGATAAGTGACTGTCGTAAAGATGAAAATCCCCCATAAATTTGGATCGGATGAAGATAATGAATGTCAAATTTTGTAGCTACTTTTAGTAAAAATGTACACTTGTGTATACATAATCATACTAGAAATTAAAAAAAAAAATCAACGTGGTGGTAAAATGCTTTTCTCCCCACACGTCATGATGTTGCTTCATACACCATGATGTTGCTCCATTCGTAATGATGTTGTTACTTACATCACGATGTTGCATGCGATCATCATATTGCTCCAGACATCATCATGTTGCTCAATGCGATAAATATGTATGTCTTTTGCTTATTCTATGAATGTATTTAGTTTAAACTATGAATGTTTCCAGTTTCACAGTGAATGTCATCAGCTTGTAGCTATGAATGTCTTTTGCTTATGTTGTAAATGTCGTCATCTTACACTGCGAATGTCTTTAGTTCGTACTAAGAATGTCTTCAGTTTGTAACTATAAATGTCTTTAGCTTATGCTGTGAATGTCTTCATTGTACAGTTACACTACGAAGGTCTTCAACCTACAGTACGGATGTCTTTAGAGTGTAATACGAATGTCTTTAGAGTGTACTACGAATGATGTCTTTAGTTTGTACAACAAATGTTTTTAGTGTGTACTACGAATGTCTTTAGAGTGTACTACGAATGATGTCTTTAGTTTGTACAACAAATGTCTTTAGTGTGTACTACGAATGTCTTTAGAGTGTACTACGAATGTCTTTAGTGTGTACTACGAATGATGTCTTTAGTTTGTACAACAAATGTCTTTAGTGTGTACTACGAATGTCTTTAGAGTGTACTACGAATGTCTTTAGAGTGTACTACGAATGTCTTCTATGTGTACTACGAATGTCTTAAGTGCATACAGTGATTTAACATAACCTACCTGTACACTACGGCTGAAACAACAACAACAATCACCAGTAATGTCGCCCCTAGCACTGCCAGAAACAAAGTATAATTGTGTGCACATTCTGCGATTAGTACTTGAATCTCTCTCTCATAGCCATCGGTCACTGCTTTTATCGAGCCGTCAGCGTAGACACAAAAGTAATTATAAAACGACTTATCAAAGGCTTTGGACTTTGCCATCCATTTCAAAAAATCCAAATTTTTACAATCACACCGAATCGGATTATCGGCTAAATCAATACTGACGTTTCGTAAATCGATCTGCTTGCGTAGCCGATCCGGCAATCGCCCTAATTGGTTGTAGCTTAAGTTCAAGACACTAAGATTAAACATGTTATCGATACTGATATTAAACTGGTCCAGTTCGTTATTATTTAGCAGAAGATTCTTCAAGCTGAAAAGCCCATAAAAAATATCAAAATCAAATCGCGTGATTCTATTGTTTGTTATATCCAAAGTTTTCAGCATGTGTAAGGATTTAAATATTTTTCTGTTCTCGGTGATGAAATACGATTTCAGTTCGTTGTAGCCAAGATCGAGAGTCTCTAGGGTCGGGAAGTTGTTGAAGAACTTCGCGTCGATGGTTTCGATAGAACAATCTCGAAGCATGAACTTTTTGATGTGGCTTAGCCCAGTCACCGGTCCTTTTAACCGAGGGAAATAATTCAGGTTCAGAAATAAATTTTCCAGACTGTTTGAAGCATTGATTTGAAACTTTGACATGACGTAATTCAAGCTAGCTATGTTCATTTCTAGATGTTTCAACTTCGGCGGAAGCGGAAGTACTAAATATTCACTACTATTTCTGCTAACGTAGTCCCTCTGCTGATCTTTAGGGTAGTTTCGGGGAAGGTTATAAACAAACGTCCCGCCATTTAATTTCAAAACTCGAAGGTTTTTTAATTGCACGAGATTCTCCAGGTATTTCCCAAAAACAAATCTGTTATCTGAGACGTCAATAGATTCAATCGTTTCAGGCAACGTTTCAAAAACACCAACATCAATGTAGTAAAACCCGTTGGTTCTTGCTTCAATGCTTTTTAAACTTTTGGGCAGACATTTTACCATGTTGCTCGTTATCTTCACCCCTTCGTTAAATCGACCTTCGATAGCATTCACGTAAAGGTGTGTAAGATTCGAGTTTCTAAACCCGCAAGCTATTTCTTGAAAATGTATCAGATTGAGTTGAGGGTTGTAGGACAAGTCCAGGACTTGTAAATTTGGCAACGAAGCGAATGTAAGGCTGGACATGAACTGACCTTGCATGGAGCAGTCACTGATGTTTAGACTCACGATCTGAGCCAAGTTTACAAAAGTTTCTTGAGTCAAACCCTGAAGCTTGCAGAACCCCTGAGTGAACCCCGCCAATGTCAGGTTCCTCAGCCGCGTCATGTTTAAAAACCCCAAACCAAATGTTTTATTTTTCAGCCCGTCTATAAAAAGCGCTTCCAGATTTTTCAAATCAGCTAAAGCTTGATCTGGGTATTCCTTTACGACGTCGCTATCTTTTGCGTTTTTATTGAGGATTAATATTCTCAAAGACTTCAAAGGTGAAAACACTCCTGTTTTGAAAGAACCGGGTGACATAGACAGGTTACAAAATCTTAGATTTAAGTGCAGTAATTTTTCTAACCCGTTGAAACAACCAAGCTCCATCTTCTTAATTTGGTTTTTGCTTAAAACTAAATTAGTCAAGCGTGGGTATCTGGTAAACGTGTTGTTGACAAGGGTAGCCAGAGAATTATTATAAAGCAGGAGTGTCGTAATTGTGACTGGGAGATTGTCCGGGACTTCAGTCAGGCCTAGGTTGGAGCAGTTACAGACGGTTCCGTAAACCGTACATCTCCCAACAAGTGACCGTTGCCTGTTGATTGAAGAAAGGAAATCAAAGACTTCTCTCGCAGAACTGTCAGCGTCTTCAGAAAAATACCGTAAAACATCGTCTTCAAAACTCCCGGAATCCAATTGATCCATGTCTGTATAGGAATCTTCCGCTTCCAGATCACTCTGGTATTCTTCACCGTAATCATTAACAGGAGAAACTTCTTCATGTTCGTTATCTAGCGTTCTGTTAACATTGTGGACTGTTGTTATATGATCTGATGACGTCAAGCTACCATCGTCATAACCTGTTCCAAGTTCCCCTGGTTGTGGAATGTTGAGTTCATAGATTTTCTTTCGTTGCTCTGAGTTCACGTATACAAACAAATGGAAGGTTAGCCAAAGCTTTAAAATTATCTGTTTCATTGTAGAGAGGGTTAGGTATTAGATGGCCTGTAATTGGAGAAGATGATAGTTATGTTAGAGTAACTGTAGAATAGAATAAACTTTGAGGGGAAGGGAATGGCGATTACATTTTATGATAAACAGTTTGGCCTACTTGGTGAACGAAGAAAAAAAAGAGAAAAGATAATGCGATAAGTGATCACAGTGTTCTCCCCTGATGCCGCATGCCACCACTCACCTTCCCAAATACACCATCAGATGAGTTTTTGTGTGAAAACATGGGATTGGTAGGTTTAGCACAACAAGAGACCACTTGTCTTGGGCACAAGGAGGGATCAGCTGACTTGGACACAAGAAGAGATCAGCTGACTTGGGCACAAGAAGAGATCAGCTGACTTGGGCATAAGGAGAGATTAGTTGACTTGGGCACAAGAAGAGATCAGCTGACTTGGGCATAAGGAGAGATTAGTTGACTTGGGCACAAGAAGAGATCAGCTGACTTGGGCACAAGAAGAGATCAGCTGACTTGGGCACAAGAAGAGATCAGCTGACTTGGGCACAAGAAGAGATCAGCTGACTTGGGCACAAGAAGAGATCAGCTGACTTGGGCACAAGAAGAGATCAGCTGACTTGGGCACAAGAAGAGATCAGCTGACTTGGGCATAAGGAGAGATTAGTTGACTTGGACACAAGAAGAGATCAGCTGACTTGGGCACAAGAAGAGATCAGCTGACTTGGGCACAAGAAGAGATCAGCTGACTTGGGCACAAGAAGAGATCAGCTGACTTGGGCACAAGGAGAGATCAGTTGACTTGGGCATAAGGAGAGATTAGTTGACTTGTGGCACACAGTTCCCTTTTCAAACCTAATGGCCCATGAGGCAAGTGAAGTAGAGTTCAACTGTTTCTGTTACTACGGCTTATTAAGGTATAGTGTGGCCAGCACTATGCCCAGCCGCCTTTACTTTCCCTGACGTGAGTCAGGTACCCGTCAGAGCTGGGTGGACTCAGGGACAATCTACAATTCTACATGATTTGAACCTGGATTCGAATTTGTGAATTTCCGGGTAGCCGTGAAACGCTCTCCACATAGTCAACGCCGTCACATGCACGTAAAGAGTACACATTTGAAATATATATTTTTTTAAATACTGACGTTACAAAGATTCGTCCACGATATTAGTAAAACTTATAGTCAAATTAAATATATAGCGTTATAACAAAGTACTTATACATACGGATACAACAGACACCTCATAAATATATGTTTTAGATCCACTCTAGAATGTATTACACATTATCCAATATACATAATAAAAGTAGAAAATAAATGAGTACACATTACACACTAAACTGACCAGTTTGCGCATACTGAATATTATTTTGGTAACCATTAAATTCTACTTACTAGATTAGCAACCTGTGTCGTATTATCAAAAGACTGGACTAAATACCCACCAGTAAAACGTTGCCTATATTTAACTACATAGCTTCCTTAATATACGTCGCGTAGTTTAATCTTTAGGCTTATCTTCTGCCAAAACAGGTCTGGATACCTAATCCCACACAGTTGGAATTATTTACATTATTTTTTGGGGGTAGGTAGCAGATAGCAGATAGCAGGAACAAAACAACATGACGGCAGCAAAGTTGGGATTTAGAAGAAAAGGTAGATATGGGATTCACTGTATGCCAAAACACAACAGATTAGTAAATCTGTGTGGGTGGATGGGGGGAGGGGGAGGACTGTGTCGATAGACTTTGAACATTAATGACAATGCCAGTTATAGTTGTCAATACAGAAGTGTAGTATGTGTGTTACTTTAGTGTAGGAAGGTATATAAATTTTATTTCGTTCGGAGGGGGGGGTGGTAAGTGCTGGGGGGGGGGGGGGGGGGACAGTGTTGTTTTTTATTACTTTTTTTAGCGTGTGTTTACTTGATACTGTTGTTAATTGCTACCATTAAATGTTATTTAAATTACCATTTCTAATTGGCAGATCTACAGACCATGTTGCAGTACAGTTTACCTTTTTCTGTGACCTTAACGTATGTCCTGTATTCTTCATTTTACCTTAATTTAGGCAGATCTCACCTTAAAAACGAAGGACACAAAGACGTCCAATGGACTAAAACACAAAACTAATTAATACTAATAAGATAAACGGTTTTAAAATATAACCTATACGTTTTCTTTTACTTCCAGTTCAATATAAATAAAAATAAAAGAAATTTAAGTAATCCTAACCGTATTATAAATAACATAATATTATAACAATCACTACTTTTTGCTGTTTTCAATTTGTATATGTAATTTTTAAAAAAAATGGAATTATTGATAAAAATCAGTAAAACGGTGTAATGATAATTGTAGGTATGCAAATTTCGAAAAAAAATATTAAAAACAACAAAATAAACAATCGTTAGGCCTATTAAAATAATTGATTGTGTAATGATGCTAAAGTTACATCTCTATAATGCGTACATTTGCCAATAAAAGAACAAAAAAAAGCTTGAATCAGTACAATCAATGATAAAAATGTTGTTTGTGTTTTGAATTACACGCAGTTCACGTTTTCTAATGCCAATAGGATCACAGCAACCAAGACGTTAATCACCACCACACGCTGTCTCGCGATTCCCCCTGCACCCTGAGTACCGTTCCCAGGGTTACACGTGACAGCATCGCTGGTGAACTTCGTGACCTTGACCTCGTCCTCCTCGAAGCCCTGGAACTCCCAGTCCCCGCACTTGGGGTAATTTTTCGGAACTTTCGGGAACTGTGTCTTGTTCCCCACTTGAAACACCAAAGACATTCCGGTCTCGGCGTGGAACTCGATGTGGCAGTGGAACAGCCAGATGCCTGGGATGGGTGGGGTAGGGAGGTGGGGGGGGGGGGGAGAAAGGCAATATCTAAAAAATTGCTAATACTATGTGAGTTGTAGAGAAACTGCGAATGGGGTTGTGTAGAGTCCTTTGTGTGACGTGGATTTAGAAGGTTAGGACAAAGCTGTGAACTGATATTGAGGGAGGGGAGGGGGAACAAATTTAAAATGGAAATTCTATGTTATTTAACCTTCCTAAACTAAACTCCAAATTCCAAAGAAACTGCCCCACGAATATTTGTTCAATATAGGTGACAAAAGCTAAGTATAGCTAGTAAACTGACAATGTATATATATATATATATATATATATATATATATATATATATATATATATATATATATATATATATATATATATATATATATATATATATATACATATGCCAATATTACAACTACCTGGATTGCTTGCCTGAAACCGAATGACCGTGTATCCGCCATCAGGAACGACAATTGTGTCTTTAAGCGGCGCCCTGAAAGTTGTACGATTTATCTTCCCATTTTTATCCAGTTCTTTGACAGTATCCGTTGACACCGAATCATTGATCTGTTAATGAAATAATAGCAAATATCGTATTCTCATGTTTATGATAATTCATACAGGACAACATACAGTATAACGCACGATAAAACGGACTTGACAACACTAATGATAATACAAAATATAAATAAAGATTTTAATAGAAAGATAATAACAAAATACGATTAAACAATACTGAACACCGCAGCACACAACAAGTCCTCTCGCTGTCCACACACCCTGCAAACCCGAAAGTCTCGAGTTCGGATCTCGGCTTGAGTCTATAGGACGTCCCTGAATATTTCCATCTCAGGTGGGTACCTGATTCTCTTTAGGGAAACAAATGCGTTTTGGCATAGGGATAAACCCACACTATCCACTTGTAAGCCGAGGTTCCACTTGTGAGCCAAGGTTATTGTAACAGAAGAACTCTATCTACTCTACACAAACGGGAAAATATGGTGATCAAGAGATTAGCCGAGCAAGAATCCGACCATTTCTCACCCTGCTATAATGACAACCCAGAAGCCCACTCTGCCCTTGAAAACAACCCATAACTTACCCTGCTCATTGTGACAACCCAGATCTTACCCTGCCCATAACGACAACCCAGACCTTACTCTGCCCATAATGACAACCCAGAGCTTACCCTGCCCATAATGAAAACCCAGAGCTTACCATGCTCATTGTGACAACCCAGATCTTACCCTGCCCATAACGACAAACCAGAGCTTACCCTGCCCATAATGACAACCCAGACCTTACTCTGCCCATAATGACAACCCAGAGCTTACCCTGCCCATAATGACAACCCAGAGCTTACCCTGCCCATAACGACAACCCAGACCTTACCCTGCCCATGGCGACAACCCTGAACCTATGTCCATGAAGATGAAAGGGATGAAACGCTTGCACAGGTATTCCTTCATCCACGATGACCAGCTCCACCAGATCTCCCAGGGCCACCTGGTACATGTGCACGCATGCGCACCATTCCTTGGTGCATTGTTTCTGGACAGTCTCCGCGTTACAGTACTCACTCTGAAAAAAAAAAAGATGCTTGAATTTCGAGGCGGGTTCAATAGTATTTGAATGAGGATTATGAGTATGTTTCTATTGTAACGTCGTACAAAGTAAATTAGTTGTGTGCATAAAAAATGTATAGTGATTGGCCACCACACAGCCATTTCTAGTTTTGTATTTAGCTTGTTTACAATAGATCCTCAAGATATAGATGGAAAGACAAAGTGTCAAGCAAAGACCTGCGGTAAAACACCAAACAACAGCGAATAGACAGGGACATTAAAGCCCGAAAATCGGGATGGATTAGACATACCCTGAGAAGGGGAGAAGATAATATCGCGAAGCAAAAGCTGGACTGGAACCTCAAGGGGAAGAGGAAAGTGGACCGCCAAGGAAATCCTATAGAAAAACAGTAGAAGAAGAGGCAAGGTTTGTATATAAAGAGAGCTGTCCAAAACAGAGTCAGTTGGAGAGGTGTGGCTGCAGCACTTTGGTCCCCAGAGTCCACAAAGGAATAAGAAGTTAAAGAAGATTGAGACTGTAGATTAGAAAATCATCTCTTCTCGTGAATAGGAATCATACGTAGAATAATTTAAGTGAAATACTCGATGAATAGGCAAGATTTTTGTATGTTTTTGTTAAATAAAAAAGGTTTCTTTCACTTAATATATGGCTATCTTACATAGATTGATTATGACTCGTACTTATAACTAACACACATAGTGTTCGTTAATACCTGCGGGACATCGTCAAACTGTGTCAGGGGCGGCGACTGCGGCATCTCAGATGTGATGAAGTTGATTTGTGGCGACAAAAATCTACTGCTGGCGTTCAACGGGTAAAACTGCAAGGGGTGGGCTCGCAGGTTATCGATGGGCACGAAATCGATGGCCAGGTAAAACTTCTTGTCAGGTGTGGAGGTGTGGAGATCGATGTCTCCGTCGTCGTAAGATTTCATGTCTTTGATTTCGGCTGAGTCGTTGGGAGGAGCGGTAAATGCGGCGTTAAGATGCTGAGGAAGATAAGATGAATTATAGGCCTTGAATATATTTAAGCCTAGGTATAATGTATTAAGGAAATTAATGGGACGGAGTGGTCTAGTGGTAGAGAGCTGGACTGCTAACCCGTAAATCTCGAGTTCGAATCCGGGTTCTAGTCAGTAGACCGTCCCTGAGTCCACCCAACTCTGATGGGCACCTAACTCATGTTGGGGAAAGTAAAGGTGACTCGGCATAGTGCTGACCACACTATCTCTTCATATGCCGAGGTCAAAGAAACAAGTGAACTCTACTTCACTTGCCCTATAGACCGTCAGGTTTGAAAAGGGAACTTTATTTTACTTACTATAATGTATTAAGGAAATCGGAACTATGCTTAATATGGTTGAGTATATGCTAGTAACGGGCTAAAGTCTGTAGGACAATCTGGAGTCCACCCATCTTTGATAGTTGAATGACTCTCGTTAGAGTAACAAAGGCTGCTGACCACACCATCTCCCTGTAAGTCGTGGTCATTGAAACAGATAAACTCTACCTCACCTGCCTATTGTGTTTTGAGCACCATCGAGGGAAAATGAGGGAGAAATGCCATTCAGAGTGAAGGGGTGGGTAAGAGTGTCTGAAAGAATGGTAGACACAGTTGGACAGAGAGTACCACAGGCTTGCCAACGATTGTTAAACAATGAGTTTAAAAATGTGTTCATGATATTGTTAGTCAGCTAGATTTCAGAAGTCTCCAGACTGCGGCCCGCGAGGTCCTTTCATCCGGCTCGCGGAGATCAGAGTTTCTTCCAGGCATCTCTTCGGCCGAAAATTTTTTACCGCTCCCCCAAACGAAATGAAATTTTTATAATTTATATAGAAAATATATACTCATAACAGTGTCCGCCCCCCCCCCCGAAGAAAGTTTACCGCCCCCCCCCCCCCGAAAATTTCAAGTGCCCCCCCCGGAGAAAAAAGTCTGGAAGAAACACTGGCAGAGATCTTTTAGTCCACGGAAAAAAACGTTTGTTGCTGATGTCTGAGAAACTTTGCTCAGAAACATCACGACATGCCTGAGAGAACCTGGCCCCCGAACTAAAATTTCATAGTTAATGCGGCCCTCGGACTGTAAAGTTTGGAGACCCCTGAGCTAGATGAACACTTTGATAATTTAATATGAAACGTCGAGCCTATATTTATACATATAAAATGTGATGTACTATAGAACTGTAAAGAAACTGATCGAGAAAATGTTGCAAATAAAGTTCTAACGAATATTGTAACTAAAGAACAAAAACACCAAATGTCAAAGTGATCAGAATTTAGCCGATGTGTTAG